GGAGTTCAAGCATACCTACTCAGCATCAAATCCCACCATAACCCCATTTTTTCCTCTCATTCCCTTCTCTCCATTTAAATGGTGTATACTTGGTGAATATTGTTGGATAGCTGCCTCCTATTTTGATGTTTGAAGACATGTCCGCGGACATTTAAAGACGTATGTTTTGGTGACACCCGTCATGGTTGGTGTTGCCCTAAAAGTACGTAGTAGACACAAGAATGAATCCATAGTCATCTAACGGCCACTTCTTTGATGAAAAGGTTAATATTTTGAAAGTTCCTAGAGGGTGCAAAATCGTCATAATCAAAATTTTCCTCCATGTGGACTTGTTTCTCATTGGCTTAACAAGATTTATTTTTTCTTCATCTCATCAAACAATAATTAAGCCTTGAATTTGATCTGTAACATCGATTTCTAGTACAAGTTCCATTACAATATCTAGTACAATTTTTACATAATAATAAAAAAATTGTCTAAAACAATTTGAAGCTTCGAAAACATAGATTTCTTCCCCCTCAACTACGTACTCTTCCTACTTTAGGAAGTGATCTCACATGCGGGGGCTGCTAGGGCGTCTTCCACCTTCCACAGTCATGCGGTTTATGAACTTCTGGGCATCGTCGATCCGGCTCCAAGCGACAACTTTCAAGCGTCGCATACATTTCTGCAAAGATTGTTATCCCGGCATGGTAGCACTGGGTAGATGACAGATCTCCTATGTGCAATGTGAGATGTGCAATGCGACAGAATGCTCATAGGGCGCTCGCTTGTAGCGACTCGGTTTTCCCGTAACAATACAGCAGCGACCCAATTTTCCAAGCAGAATGCAGTCCTTCGATTAGTTTTAAAAGCAAAATTTGAAGACACGAAGATTTTACGCGAATATTTTCTGATAATGTGGTATTTCTTAAAAACCAATTTATTTAAAAGTTTCGAACATTTTTCGAAAATACAATTTCTAAAACAGGAACATTTTTAAAAATTCCAAATTTTTTTTAAAACACCAACATTATTTGAAAACGTGTTTTTTGATAAAACTGAATATTGGAAATAATATTATTTGGAATTTCTGAATTTTTTAAAACAAAATAAACTTGAAAAAAAATTGAAATTTACAATGAAAAAACACGAAAAACCCCAGAAAAAGAAACATCAGTAAAACTGAAAGAACACAATACCTGAACCTGACAAATCCTTCTGAAATGTTCCCAAAACCAGGAAACTGGAAGACATAGAACTTAGCTAACGGACCGGACCAGTTAAAAGTCGTGCGCTACTTGATGTATCAACGTAATGTGCCACAACACATGTCCTACTTGGCGCCTAGGTCACCAAACAGAAACCAAC